TTCACAAGATTCCCGTGCCTTTAGAGCTCACACGCCCCCAAAACGTCAGTGAACCCCCACCTTGCTTCGCAGTGGGGATAGTATTCTTTTCACTATAGGCCTTGTTGACCCCTCTCCAAACATTACGGTTATGGTTGTGGCCATAAAGCTCTATTTTGGTCTCGTCACTCCAAATTAAAGGGTGCAGATTCTGTTAACAACCACACCGTCTTTTTCCAGAGCAGCCTGTATTTCTCCTGAGGTTACCTGTGGGGTTTTCTTTGTATCCCAAACAATTCTTCTGGCAGTTGTGGCTGAAATCTTTCTTGATCTACCTGACCTTGGCTTCGTATCAAGAGACCCCTGAATTTTCCACTTCTTAATAAGTGATTGAACATTTTTAAGGCTTTTGATATCCTTTTATATCCTTTTCCGTCTTTATAAAGTTCCATTACCTTGTTACACAGGTTTTTTTTGACAGTTCTTTTCTGCTCCCCATGACTCCATATCCAGCCTGCTCAGTGCATCCACGTGAGACCTAACAAACTCATTGACTATATATACACGGACACTAATTACAATTTAAAAAGCCACAGGTGTGTAAAATTAACCTTTAATTGTAATTTTAACCTGTGAGTCCCCTTGTGTGTCTCTAACAAGGCTAAACATTCAAGGGTATGTAAACTTTTTAACAGGGTCATTTGGGTGATTTTTTTATAATTATGATTTAAGAAGGAACCAACAACTGTGATAATACATGGCTTCATATGTATTCAATAAAATAAAATAAAAATTCATGACCGGTTATATTTTCAATTTTAATGCCAAAATTTCACAATTTCTGCAGGATATGCAAACATTTGAGCACAACTGTTTTTGTGGTTGAGGACAAAGGACAAGACTTAAACAAACAAGTCATTTGTGGTGTGCCAGAACAAAGGTCGAAAAGACCTTTGAATAAAGATTACCTACTAAATTAATGATTAATAGGATTAATAGAAAAAAGGGGGAGCGGGAGGGGGCTGGGGTAATCTGAATGCTACTACACAGGAAAGGAGGTAGGCTGGGTTAAATAGCAAGTAACCCCTTCCACAAGTCCAGGCTACCACCTTTACATTTGTGACCGTGTACATGGCCGAGACTTAAATCAACAAGTCGGTTGTGTTGTGCATGAACTGATGGTCTGGTAGACCTATTAATAAAAAGGACAAAAGTATTTTTGAAAATGCAACTTTATTACAAAATATACACATTACATAGCCACATCTTAAAATACTTTCCATAACTTCTTTTCAGGTGTGATGTATCTATAACAACTAATTGACTTCCAACACCCTAATCTCTTAATGATATGAACTGGAATATTTTGCCAGATGCAGCTGACACTGCACTGAGTCTAAACGAATGTCCTGAAAAGGAAGAGCGGTCCATACCTAATCTAACCAATAAAGTCCTAACATGCAAAATGAATTTAGCGGACGTAAGGGGTTTACCATGTGGAGGTAGGAGTGTTCTAAGGGGTTTACCATGTGGAGGTAGGAGTGTTCTTCATGAGGCAACAATTGAAGATTATGCTAGCTTTAGTGTACTAATAATCTTAATTTTAATAAGGACAGGAGGCGAGTATTTTGCATTAACTCTCTTTACTAAACTCCACAGCAGTAAAGAAAAACGTAAAGAGTAACATTAAATCACTGAGCAGCATAGTATATATAAGGGTCATGCTGCCTGTACACTTCCTCTTTCTTGAAGCGACATCCAAGTCCAGACTGATCTCGAAACGATAGAACCAACGAAACAATCAACAACGGTCTCTGGTGAGCAGAACCTGATGAGACTCCTGGTAAACGAGGTCGGGAGAAGACGAAACGAAGCCTTTATCCTCGTAGGCGGAGTCGTGAGGGTAACCAAACCAACAACCAGTGGGGGTCCTGAAGAGGATTACACTGAAAGAGAGTATGAAATAGGTTAGGTACTGAACCGTAACTGGTCACGCATGAGAGCCACATCAGAGTGTGTTAAACTAAGTGGTGATATACACAGTAGTGTGTGTAATGTAAGGTAATTATGTGTATGTGTAATATGTGGTGCAACATAACCTGGTTGTCAAAGACCTAGTTCTGGGATGAGAGACGGGATAGAACTGCGTGCACCCCAAGGAAAGTAGCAAGCACTGACAAGCCAAAACAAAAGTCCGTCACCTTGAGATCCACTCCCCCGAGGGGTCAGGGTAGGGAACAAAAGGGAGGGAAAATACTCGCCTCCTGTCCTTATTAAAATTAAGATTATTAGTACACTAAAGCTAGCATAATCTTCAATTTTATTACATGACAGGAGGCTTCCTATTTTGCAATTTTAACGCTGAAGGAGAGATGTCCCAGCAGAAGGGGGAGTGCGAAAATAAAAGGTACGGAAAGTGGATTCCCGAGACCAATCCGCCGCTCGGAGGATGTCTGACAGTGACGCCCCCGCTAGGAAAGCTGAAGAGGCCGCCGCCCCTCGAACGGAGTGGGCGCCGAAAGTAGGGTCTATACCGGCGAGGGAGAGGATCCATCGAATCCACCGGGCCAGTGTGGTGACCGAGACCGGCGCGTGGGGGCGGACATAGGAGACTAGGAGTTGGCCCGACACCGAGTTCCGGAGCGAGGAGGTAACCGAAACGTATCTGCGCAGGGTGGACACGACGCAGAGTTGCGGGTCGTCTGGGAAAAAGGGGTAGAATACCGAGGTCGAACCCGACTTAGTGCGACGGGAAACGTGGAAAGTGACCCCCTCCGGGGCAATCTCGAAGGCGTCAACGTCGAAGGCTCGAACGTCTGATACCGTCGAAAGGACACGAGACAGAGCAAAAAAGCGCACTTGGCTGACAATTGGCGTAGGGAGAGGTGGTCATTAGGGAGCCAATCCCTGAAAAAACGGAGGACCAGTCCAACATCCCATAGGTGGGAGTACCACCTAAACTCCTCTGTTGGTAGTGCTCCGGAAGACTCTGCGCATAGAGGACTGCGCCTTATTAAGTGAAGTGAACACGTTCACGTGTTTGTTAAGTTCCTTGAGGAACGGTTCACCGAACAATTTTCCTTGTGCCTGGGGCCCAATCTCCTTAGTGCCAAGCTCTGCCAATTTTCCGTTAATACGGAATAGCGCTGCTTTCCGTCTCTCAGAAGAGAGCGTAACATTGGTGTTTCCAATGAAACAAAAGCACCGTTGTGCCCATTCGCGCACGTCATGTGCCCATTCCTTGATGTCCTCGGCAGAGAAAGAATCGGCTCTGGTCAGGGCGTCATCTGCCAGGTACATGATACGGGCCAGAGGGCCAATGGCATCCAGCAAGTTATCCTGTGCACCGAATAGGCCTTTCTCTACCCCTCGTCGAGGGTCTCTCCCACTACGCATCATGAAGGTTGTCATAACCTTATCAAACTCGGGAGTGTGAGCCACTTTATCTGGCAGGGAAGGGCGTGGGCATTCTGAGCCGGTTGCGGACCTCTTTCTCCAGGGGCTTGCGAAGCCACAGGTGCATAAACCTGGAGAGGTGTTCTGGGGGTGACCAGTCTCCCGATCTGGGGTGGCGGATGTTGCGAGGGTCAAACATCGCTTGACCCGAAGGGTCTAAAATGGTGTCCGAATCAAGAGGGTGTTCTGCGTCCGCAGTGTCTTCAATACCCTCTGTCTGGGCCGCACCCAGAAGAGTCTCCCGCATGAGGGCAAAGACAGATTTTTCGTCCGAACCCCAAGCATCGTCTGAATCAGAGACGTCAGCTTGCCATTCGTCCAGTACTGACATGGTATGTGAAGGCCCTTGCTCTTCGTCCGAAGAGTAATCCTGACGCGGGGTCGGGGTACTAGCTTTGGCAGATTTGCGCTTGGCATGCGCCTTACCCTTAAGAGGTTTTAGTGCCTGATGTTCGCCTTTCTCATGGCGTTTCCTCGGACGGGAATCCTCCCTGGTCCGGTAGTCGGACATATCCGAATCTGAGTCCTGGCGAGGTCGCCTGCGTTTGGGCGCTTCTGCCGTGCGTGCCTTGGAGAGTGCCTTCTCCACTGAAGCAGCGACAGCTGCATTGATCATTGCTTGGAAGTCCACAGGGACATTCTGGGAGTCTTCCATGGTAAGGGTAGGCTTATATAAATCACGGAGAGGCACAGTAAAAATGGGGCACCCGGGTCTTAAATATATAGGCGTAGGGTCAGTTGACGTGGCACCAGTGGTGGGTAACACACCACCCAGTATAAAAACCCCAGCAGGGTATAGTTGGTGACCTTATAAAAAACTGGGGCTCACCCAGTTAGAGAGAACTGCAACAGCTAGTCTCCCAATAAGCAGCGTGGTACACAAGTACGTATAATGGGGGCTCACCCCGGTTGCACAGGGTTGGTACCCTTAAGTGCAGGTCACAATAGTAAGCAGGCAGCAGCACTGACCTGACTGACCCAGCCACAGAGTATACAGGGAGTGCAGAATTATTAGGCAAATGAGTATTTTGACCACATCATCCTCTTTATGCATGTTGTCTTACTCCAAGCTGTATAGGCTCGAAAGCCTACTACCAATTAAGCATATTAGGTGATGTGCATCTCTGTAATGAGAAGGGTGTGGTCTAATGACATCAACACCCTATATCAGGTGTGCATAATTATTAGGCAACTTCCTTTCCTTTGGCAAAATGGGTCAAAAGAAGGACTTGACAGGCTCAGAAAAGTCAAAAATAGTGAGATATCTTGCAGAGGGATGCAGCACTCTTAAAATTGCAAAGCTTCTGAAGCGTGATCATCGAACAATCAAGCGTTTCATTCAAAATAGTCAATAGGGTCGCAAGAAGCGTGTGGAAAAACCAAGGCGCAAAATAACTGCCCATGAACTGAGAAAAGTCAAGCGTGCAGCTGCCACGATGCCACTTGCCACCAGTTTGGCCATATTTCAGAGCTGCAACATCACTGGAGTGCCCAAAAGCACAAGGTGTGCAATACTCAGAGACATGGCCAAGGTAAGAAAGGCTGAAAGACGACCACCACTGAACAAGACACACAAGCTGAAACGTCAAGACTGGGCCAAGAAATATCTCAAGACTGATTTTTCTAAGGTTTTATGGACTGATGAAATGAGAGTGAGTCTTGATGGGCCAGATGGATGGGCCCGTGGCTGGATTGGTAAAGGGCAGAGAGCTCCAGTCCGACTCAGACGCCAGCAAGGTGGCGGTGGAGTACTGGTTTGGGCTGGTATCATCAAAGATGAGCTTGTGGGGCCTTTTCGGGTTGAGGATGGAGTCAAGCTCAACTCCCAGTCCTACTGCCAGTTCCTGGAAGACACCTTCTTCAAGCAGTGGTACAGGAAGAAGTCTGCATCCTTCAAGAAAAACATGATTTTCATGTAGGACAATGCTCCATCACACGCGTCCAAGTACTCCACAGCGTGGCTGGCAAGAAAGGGTATAAAAGAAGAAAATCTAATGACATGGCCTCCTTGTTCACCTGATCTGAACCCCATTGAGAACCTGTGGTCCATCATCAAACGTGAGATTTACAAGGAGGGAAAACAGTACACCTCTCTGAACAGTGTCTGAGAGGCTGTGGTTGCTGCTGCATGCAATGTTGATGGTGAACAGATCAAAACACTGACAGAATCCATGGATGGCAGGCTTTTGAGTGTCCTTGCAAAGAAAGGTGGCTATATTGGTCACTGATTTGTTTTTGTTTTGTTTTTGAATGTCAGAAATGTATATTTGTGAATGTTGAGATGTTATATTGGTTTCACTGGTAATAATAAATAATTGAAATGGGTATATATTTGTTTTTTGTTAAGTTGCCTAATAATTATGCACAGTAATAGTCACCTGCACACACAGATATCCCCCTAACATAGCTATAACTAAAAACAAACTAAAAACTACTTCCAAAAATATTCAGCTTGATATTAATGAGTTTTTTGGGTTCATTGAGAACATGGTTGTTGTTCAATAATAAAATTAATCCTCAAAAATACAACTTGCCTAATAATTCTGCACTCCCTGTATTATCAGTGTAGGTAATCCTGGTACTCACAGTGAAGAAGTTCACAGCCACAGATTATAGGCATGCAGTGTAGGTAATCCTGTCACTTGCAGTGATGAAATTCACAGCCACAGAGTATAGGCCTGCAGAGTAAGTAATCCTGTCACTCACAGTGATGAAACTCACAGTCACAGAGTATAGGCCTGCAGTGGAAGTAATCCTGTCACTCAGAGAAATGAAACTCACAGTCACAGAGTATAGGCAGTATAGGCTGCAGAAGTTCACACTAGGGCTTCAGACCAGCACAAAAGCAGGTGGAAGGGAGCTAAGACAGCCAGTACTGAGTCCCCAGAGAGATCCAGGCGAAAAAACAAGATGGCCGCGTGAATCTCGCGGTATTCGCGATCCAAAATGGCGGCCGCGAGTGTAGGCCGCAAGCCGGGGACTAAATTTAAGGCCGGCCGCAGGCGGGCGCCAGCCGGCGCGAAAAAGATCGCGATCAATTCCGGTCGCGAGTAGGGGGCCAGGAGGGCACCCCAGGTAGGAAAAACCAGAGGGGAGCCTGAGGGGAGCCCAGGGGGGAGCCCAGGGAGTCCCAGGGCCGGCAGGGGCAGGGAGAAACTAAAGGGCTAAAGCCTGATTCTACTCACAGCCCTAGCCAGGCAATATAAATCACAAAAATACAGACAAGACAGTAAACAATAAAAGGCAAAGGCATTAAATAAATAATAAAACAGACTAATACAGAATAAGCAAAAAAGGCTCTGGAGGAGCCAAATAGTCTGACCTGTCTGCGTGGAGCAGTAAAGAAAGAGGAAGTGTACAGGCAGCATGACCCTTATATATACTATGCTGCTCAGTGATTTAATGTTACTCTTTACGTTTTTCTTTACTGCTGTGGAGTTTAGTAAAGAGAGTTAATGCAAAGTAGGAAGCCTCCTGTCATGTAATAAAATTAGGTAGGTTATAGCAGAATTTTTGTGGATGGGTAAATTTAATTAATTTTGAAATGTCTAAGACTTTTTTTAAAATACTTTTTTTTCTAAGATCTTGAATTTTTTACATCAATCTGAATTGGATTGTGACAAACGCTCCTTCCCATGAACGTTTGCCACAAACTCCTGGAGGAGTGTAGAAGTTTGACTCCTGCCCATGACTATGGTCCAGGTCTGAGACACCATTTGTGAGTTACCCTGGCCAGCCAACATCAGCAGCTTTCCCTGGGTGCCCCTGGTTCGGCACTTTCACTTCATTTGAATGGAAACGAATGCTAGCTCCCTGACGACCGTTTGCATGAACCAAACACATGTATGGTCCTCAGCGTTACTTAGTCGTGACTGCACTGGAACAATTTCGGCACAAGGACTTTGTGGGTTTACAATCACCTCAGTGGTTCCTAGCTACAAATGTTATGGACCTGTTTTCGGCATGAGGTGACCGTGCAGTTCCCGGACAACTTGGTCTGGGGTTTTGAACCACTTTGCCACCCACCAAGAGAGCGCTTTTTGGAGGGAAGGTGCCTGAGACTAAGGGGAACACTACCTGACAGCAAGGTATTTTGATGCAGGAGCTCCTGAAAGTTGACCATCAAAAGCACCAAACGCCCTGGAACTATTTTGGGCATAGGACCACATGTGCGGCCGGTCAGAACTTTAAGAGGAGGAGAAGGTGATAGGCAATTTTTCGGGTATGTGGGGGTGTCCCTGGAGGGACTGAAAGGAGTAAGTATGTGCGTGGGTCGTATTGTAGATCGGTGTGTGTGATTCCAAGTAGCACCGTGCGTATGGCCTCCTAGAAGGGTTAGATCAGCGGGCATTGCCACCACATGTGGGAGCTGGATGGGAAGAGTTTGAGCAATCTCACCGGTAGTAAGTACCATCTGTATATCATTTTCATATGTTTTTCTAGAAGTGTGGCCAATTTGACCAATTTTTGGGGGGAGACAACTATGTCTTTCCACTGATGCTGAGAAATCTCCTCTTCAACTTCGTTTCACAGGTGTGGCATCGGGTAGTGGTGTGTAATCTAGGAGTAACTGTTACAGTTCACCAGGAGTTGGAGCCCAGTTGCAGGAGATGGCACAGGGAGGAGGCAAAAACCAGAAGCGCAGTACAGATTAAGGATAAACCCAAAGGCAGGGTCAGTCGAGAAGCAGAAGTCAGGGCTGGCAGCGGAGTAATGAAGTCGGTAAAGCAGGCAGAGGTCAGAGTCCAGGAAATCAGTCAGTAACATAGCAAAGATCCAGCAGGAAAAACCAAACAGGCAAAGTGACCAGATCCTAGGTTGCCTGCTAATTAGATGCAGCTGACCCTAATTGGAAAAGGGCTACAGGTGGATCAGCACTGCCAAATCCAGACAAGGGGTCAGGAAGCAAAATAATGCAAACAGAAACTGAAGCCCCCTGGTGGAGATTATGGCAGAGTACCTGACCGGGATGCTAGAGCTGTGAGTTCAAACCCAGCCAGGTCTTTTAAAGGGGTGGTCATGCCTTGCAGTCTGCAGGGTTTGGGCTGTGCTGTGACAGTAACCTATAACACATGGAGAGCAGCCTGCAAGACCTAGGCAGTTTTTTGTTAATACATATCTGTTCCCATAGGGTAAGGGCTGGTATGGTGCTGTGTGGGGTCCTGGGACCCATATTTGTACAGAAAGGATTGGAGTTGTCTATAAGAGAAGTGTGAGGTATGTGGGATAACGTGTGGCGAAGTCTATGAGCGTTGCTCCTGTGTAAAAGTGGGTTAGGTGTTGAAGGCCTTTCTTGTGCCATGGTCTAGCGTGGAACGTGGGAATGCAGTATGTTAGGCTGTGGCCTTAGAGATTTGAGAGTTAGTGCTCAGTTTAGCCCTGTGGGATTTCGTATGGCTCCAACAGTCGTTTTTCTAGAGTTACCCATTGTGGAGGGTATTGGTCTAGAAAATGCAGTAGTGCGGATGCTAGTATTGCTGCCTGGTAGTAGGAGCGCATGTCTGGAACCACCAGGCCACCTTCTCTTAGCGGTGCTTTCAGCAGTTTCAGCGCCACTCGAGGTTTCCTTCCTGCCCAAATGAGCCTATTAATGTCCCTTTGGATCATTTTGAAATAGGATTAGGGAATTTTTAATGGTAGAGTCCAAAAGATATATTGTAACCTTGTGAGTACAGAAATCTTTAGTGCGACTATTCTCTCAGTCCAAGTAAGGAAGAGGGGTCCCCAGGTCTTTAAGATTAATTTACATTCATTCTAGACTCTAATGTTGTTCCCTGTTATGAGGTCAGTGGGTTTATTGGTAAAAAGGAGTCCCAGGTATTTTATATGGTCTTTCCTCCACTGAAATGGATATGACTTGCTAAGGGTTTGTATCAAGGATGCGGGAGGCCTATCCCCATAGCTTGGGTTTTTGTGGTGTTTAGGGAGTAGTAGAAGTAGCAGTAGAAGTTGTGCCACTAAGTGTGGTGAGGGTTGTAGCTGGGCTAGGAGTTGTCTATCTAGAAGGAATGTATCTATAAGGGTATATGTGTTATGAGCCCTCAAGTAGAAGGAGTAGTCTCTATCTCCCAGGTGCAGCGATCTCCAGGCATCATAGAGGTCATGTTGGTCTATCAATCTAGTAAAGGACTTGCTCATAGTGTCCAATCTCATTTGCTATTGCCTGCAAGTGTGGCGGTCGTGTCAAGAGCAGGTGACTGAATACAATTGAAGTCTCAGCAAAACATTAAATTAGCTCGTTTGAGTTTCTCTATTTTGTGGAATAACATTTGGAGGAATTGCTAGGGATTTTCGTTGGGAAAGTAGGCTGCCACTAACGTGCGTTGGGCATTGTTGAACTGGCCTACCAGTATGCCTCTCAGGTCTATACTATGGCATTGTAATGTAAAGGCCACATCTCTGTGGATCAGGATGGATACTCCTTTAAATTTGGTACTTGTGAGAGAATGAAATTGGACGGGGTAAGTTTTCATGAATATGGCTGGAGTGCGGTCCATCCTAAAGTGCGTTTCCTGAATACAGGTGATGTCTACCCTTTGTTTGGTTAGGTCTTTAAGCAGCAACCTGTGTTTACCTTGGGTGTTCAATCCTTTGACATTATAGGATACCAGTCTTATAGTGGTGCGGTGTGGGGTATCTGTTCCTTGTAATGTTTGCTTCTACAGGTGGCTATTATGGCCAAGGGTTGTTTGTGGAGCATGTTAGAATGTGGTTGGTGGCGTGGCCTATGTGGGGCAGTCTGAGTGGATGACACTTCTTAGGATTTTCAGGATCTGTCGGGTGAGGAATAAGACAAGTTGGGGAAACTGGGGGGGGGGGTGCAACAAACGAATGGGCAACCTACCTTGACTAGCTCCTCT